GGACCCCACGTGTGACGTCCCTGCAAGGCGGTGGAGGGTCCCCATAGCACAGAGGGGGTTTGCTCCCCAGGTCCATCCCTGTCTCACCTTTGTACCACGTGATGTAGGGTGGGGGCACTCCCGAAACCCAGCACTCCAGGGTCACGTCTTCTCCCACCAGCACCTTTAGACTGGGTGTCACTGCCAGGATAGCGGGAGGGTCTGTGTTGCATCCAGAAGGTTGTGGTCAACAGCTCAACGTCAAGATGGAGATCGGTGACGAGTGGTGACCCTCAGGGGTCCGTATGGGGACCAGTGGTGTTTAATCTCAGCAGCAGCAGCACAGACAGTGGGATTGAGTGCACCCTCAGCAAGTTCACCAATGAAAGGAGGGATAATAAGGATGAGGCTTTGAGCAACCTAGTGGAAGGTGGCCCTGCTGATGGGAGGGGGGTTGGAACTGGATGATCTTTAAGGTCCCTTCCCACCCAAACCATTCTGTGACTCTATGAATAAATCCCTCAGCAGCAGCTCAGAGCTCAGGTCCTTCCTGGGATGCTGCTGGCTGGTGGGGAGCAGGTACCGGTGAACTCCAGGGTGACGACCTGCTCGTCCCAGCCCAGCATGCTGCTGGCAAAGCAGCTGTAGTTCCCTGCATCTTCTGGGATGGCAGCCCTGATGTGGAGGGTACCCTGAGCATCCGTGAAAACCCTGTGGCAAAAGGGAGAGAAGGAGAAATGGAGATGATGAAAAGTGCATTGAAATAAGTGAGTGGGCTTAACGCCATCCTGCACATGTAGTAAGTGCTGGGCATTTGATAGATGTGCACTTAAAGCTCCTCCTTCAGCTGCTGCAGAGAAAAGCATTGAGAATTGGGCTTTGTCATCTCCAAAGTCAAAAAAACCTTCCCCAAAGCCCACTCCAGCACTCACAGCCTGACATGGGCAGGGAGATGGAAGCCAAAAAGCAGAAATTAAGGGGAAGCACAAGGAGTATTTTGAGATTTGAGGGCACACTAGGTTTGAAAAGCACCTTGAGTCCCCCTCGGTGAGGACAGTGACCTGGATAAGGCAAAGGATGGCTTAAAAATAAATATTAAGGCTAGCAGGATGCCAACCATCTCAGGTGCACAGGTTGGGGATATGTAAGCCTTGAATTCTGGACCAGGTTGCCCAGAGAAGCTGTGGCTGCTCCTCCCTGGAAGTGTTCAAGGCCAGGTTGGATGAGGCTTTAAGCAACCTGGTCTAGTGGAAGGTGTCCCTGCTGATGGCAGGGGGGTTGGAATGAGAGGATCTTTAAGGTCCTTTCCAACCCAAACCATTCCATGATTCTATGCTATTGCAATGCTTCCTCTTTCCAGAGCTATGGGCAGCCCCAAGCCTGTGTACCCCTGTGAGGGGAGCAGCATCCCCAGTGGGATGGGGAGGGTGATGGCACCCAGGTCTCCAGGGGTTACCTCTCATCCTGCGTCAGTGCCCAGCCCCAGCGCTTCCAGGTGGTGTGGGGCAGGGGGTGGCCCCCGGCCGTGCAGTTCAGCCGCAGCTCCTGGCCCCTGCCAAAACGCTGGGGGCTGGCGTCCACCTGCACCCACGGCACCTCTGCACGGGCATGGAGAAGGGCTCAGCCCCTAGGTGCCACCTGCCACCCACCCATGGGGCAAGGTGTCACCCAGGCTGGGGTCCCAGGCAGGGCAGAGCCTACCATGGATGAAGAGCCAGATGGAAGCGGTGGCAGTGCCATGGGCGCTGCGTGCCACACACTCATAGAGGCCCCCGTCCTCTGGCTGCACGTGGCTGATCTCCATCGAGCCGTTCTGCAGCAGCCTGGTCCGGCCATCCCCCGGCTGTGTCACCTTCCCATCCCAGCTCCATGTCAGGTTGTAGGGCACGTCGCCCAGAACCAGGCAGGACATGACCACATCTTGGCCTGGTGAAGCCGTGATGTTGTCCGGGGCTATGAGACGTGGTGGTGGTTCTGCAGACACAGCACACCAGGGTGAAATGAGCCCATGTCCAGCCACAGACCCAGACCTTGTGGGCACAGATGCTTGGCACGAGGAGTCCCCACCTGAGACAGAGACGTAGGCGCGAGCCCGAGTCACCCCAACCTTGCTTGTGGCTGTGCACTCATAAAACCCTTCATCACTCTTGGACACAACAGGGATCAACCAGCTGATGTTCCCTGAATTCCTACAAAAAGGGAGAGACTACAGGGTCACCCCCATCCTGGGGCTGCCATGTCACCACCCTCCTCCAAATCCCTGGGACTTTTTTTCCATCTGAGTCAGTCAAAGGGATGCACCCCCATGCCCTGAAGACACATCCCTTGGGATTTTCCTCTGCTGCCTTGGGATGCTCAGAAGTTGCAGGTGCCCATCCAGCACACAGCACCCCCCTGGCCAGCACAGTTCCTCTCACTGCCCACACAGGTCCATCTTGGAGCCCACAGAATCAAACCAGAGGCTCACCTGAAGAGCTGCTCTTCCCCGAGCTTCCCCCTACCACGGCTGAGCTGCAGGCAGAAAGGCACCTCACTCCGTGCAGAGCAGGAGATCAGCTGTGGCTCACGGTTGTAAGCCTGGATCTTGCTGGAGATGTTCACTTTAGGTAGACCTGGAAGTAGTTGGGGACATGCACACAAAACACTTCTCAGGAGCTCACCAAGAGTTGCACTGGGAAGCAGGACAAAAAATACCCAAGCAGAAACCAAAGCAGAGGCAGTGCTGGAGCCTCTGGTACCTTCTCAGCACCCTCAGGGAATGTGGGGACCACTCACCAGGGACCACACTGGTGTAGGTGACCCCGGAGAGGCGGTGCAGGGGGTGGCCCTGGGCATCTTCACCCTTCACCTTCAGCAGAAAGTCACCTGGGGGGACACGGAGTGGTGAGCCCACCCAGAGCTGCCCCGAGGAGGAGTTGGAGAGGGGCCGTGCAGGCAGCGAGAGGAGGGCATGGCCGGAGGTGTTGAAGAGCTCGATCTCCTGCAAGTGCCCAGGCATCTTCAGACCGGTGCAGTTCACCACCACGGAGATGGGCAGACCTGGAGAGAGGGAAGAGGAAAAACAACCCAGCCAT